CCCAACTTGGTGCTCGCTAGCAAAACACACAGCACTCGCACACTCATCCCTTGTGCTCCCCATATTTACATGATCCTCTGGGCGTACCAGCATGGACCCCCCAACTAACTGATACCCTGTGCCGGACATGAGGCCTCCCAACTGGCTGGCTGCTCCAGCTTTAGGTTTGCCAACGAATGCACACGCACACCCCACGCACAGACCTGGGGAAGATACAGACACGTGTCCCCGCTGGCAGCCAACACCAGTCACAGGGCCACGACCCGCAGTCCCATCCAGCCACTGGTGCTGTTCCCCCCCCGGTAGCTAGTTTTGGGAACAAACACCATTCCCGCCCCAGCGGCCGGGGGTTAAAGACCCCCACCGGCTCCATCAGCTGGCACCACAGGCCAGGGTGCCCACACCCCCAGCCTGACTCCAGTAGCTGTCACCAAATTCCACTCACGCACACACACGGGTCTCACCAGTAGCTGGCACATACTCCGTGCAGTAGTTTTAAAAAAACAATGTCTGCATTATTTCTGTCATGGAAACTTTTTCCTGTTCTGCAAGGCAAACGTTCTTGGCTAATATTGATTTCCTACGACTACAAAAAGGATATTTTCTTCCTGCTGGCAGACGGAACTCCAACGTATGCATCAGGGCACACTCTGCATGTTCTATTCGTTACTTAGTATATTATATATGCTCCGTGTATTTTAGCTCTTAGCTACATGTTCCATCTGTAGAACTAAAATTGCTTAATGGAAACGTCTGTTGGCTGGTCACAAAGCTCTGAAGCTTAACAGAAGGCCATGAAATCAGTAGTAGTGTATCCACTCACAGTCCAATGATGGAAGAATGAAGCCTACCTAAATTTTGGCATGGGGGATACCAAACAAGAAAAGAGAGAATAAGGGGTGAGCTCAGCTCCTTCAGTTGCAGGGCAGCAAAGCCTGTCCCCATGGGATCCTGTGATATCCCTTCTGCTGTTGGGTCCACTTTGTGGGCCTTCCTTTTGCCCTTCATTTTCATAATATGAGAAATTTTCAGAAAGAGACATTGCTCTCGGAGGTCCCATTCTTTCAGCTATGTCCATAAGAAGCTGTCTGGAGAGTCAGTCATTCTTCTCATGTTACTGGTTGATGCTCTGGACATGAAAAAACGGGACAGTGCAATTGTTCAAATACCTATAAATAAAGTTACAATGCTTTAATAACAGACATTGCCTGCGGATCCACTCTCTTTAGGGACCTTGCCATCAGAATCCTTGCCCATTTGGATTATTTTTTAGCACTTCCCAGTATAATCAAAAACAAAACTAAAAATACTTAGTGTTTACTAAGGAAGGTTTTTCCCTTAGTAGGAGCTCTCTAAAAAAAGATTATTTTTTGTCTTTTTAGACTGTAGTTAGAAGTATAATACTTGGAATTATTTTAGATTAAATCTTTTAAGCATTTTTCTTTCATTGGCTTACATTCTGCTTGAGCATTTTGAACTAACAGGTTGCCTCTTACGCCTTAGTTCCCACGATACAATGACTGTAATGCAAGTTGGAGGAATAACTGCATTTGCAACCTGGTTACTGTTTTTATTTGCTCTGAAGACAAAAGTAAGTACTATTAATGGATTACGTAACAACAAATAATCTAAGCTGTCACGATTTTAATGACAGCTTTATATCTGTTTTATCGAGTCATTCAATTTCTACTTGTTCTGTTTGCATCTCCAAAATTAACAATGTTCACAGTAAACAAAATAAAATTGAGCAGTCTGTACTGGACTGATCCTGCGCTCCCACAAATCTCTGTCCCAGCTTCATTCTCCTGTCCACAGGTTTGCTGTACTACGGGCAAGAGCAGTCAAAACATGTAAGTGGAATGTATTGTATTTCAGAACGGGTTTTTCTCATGAACATATTACCACTTACCTGTTCCTTTCTTAGAGCCTCTCTTGGAAACACTGATGAGTATCAATAGGAAGGCAGCAGCAGCTGGAAGTCAGTTTAAGAAGTTAACAAAAACAGAATTAGAAATCCATTAGGTACGTTTTATGGAATTCAGCTTATTAACAGACCAGAAAAAGAAGCAAAAGCTTAAGTCAGCTGCCGTAATTTCAGGATTATCTTCATGCATGTCACCGATGTTCATTTATTAATCACCATCCCTAACAACCATTTTTGGGGGTTCAAAATGTATTGGCCAACTGCAGCTAAAGACAGTCTCACTGTACTTGGTGTCTTCAGGAAACCCTGACAAGCATGACTATATCAAACACCTCAAGCATTCTGCTGATTATCAGGGCAATTGTCTGTATCCTTATAAATTCATACGTAAGTGGTTTACTTGATGTGCAGTTATTAGCTATACTGACATGAGTTGGCCCGTACTGTGCAGTGCCTGCAATCATTCTGTCAGGGGTAGTACCAGTAGCTTCATATCACACTGCAGCCAACAAATTAAAAATGTTTAAATGCAAAGCTCCTTTTCTGTATTAGGGAGTCTGGCAAAAATTTTTGGAAGACAAGTTTTATGTTTAATCAGATGACAAGTAGATTTTTTTTTTTCTGTGTGATTTTTTCCTATTTCATTCCCTAATGAATGGCAAGACCAGACAGCTAAAAAGGTGTTTAAAGTTCCCGTGGGTTGTCTCATAAGAAAAAACTTTTAAGTCTTGCATCTTCCCAAACCAAATAATTATGTCAGAGTTAGGTAAGTAACAGAACTGAAGCAGATTCACATTTGTTTTAGATTACCTACTACCTCATTTGATAGTTTTGTTTTTATTGTGCAGTTCTTCTTGCATTTTTTTTTTTAATCTAATCGGAATACACTTTTCTTAAATTTAGTGGTGCTGGTGATTCAAATGCAGTGAGGGATGACATTTTTATTTAATTCTGGCTTTCATTTCACGGTGGCAATGCTCGCAGTTCTTTGCTTTTTCTTACAGAAGTTTCAGGTTACATATCCTCTACCTGGAGCTCCGCTCTTTGCTACTGTAAGTAGAACACTTATATGGCATACTATTTTTCATAAGAGTAAGACATTATCTTGTTCCAAACTTTTCTTTTGCTTAAGCTTTCAAACTACGTGTCTAGTGCAAGGCTGCAGTCAGTCCCCTCTCTCAGTATGATCTGCTGTTCGACATAGGAGGGTGCAGAGACCTGAGTATCATCTGTGAAACAAACTTCCAATCATAAAGCATTCATTGATATTTCTCTAAATTGCCCCTTTTATATTACTATTTATTGACAAATAAGGCAAATGGCAAGTGAGTACTTTTCATTTGGCGTAAATTGTAGAAACTCAGAAAAGCAAAACTGAATGTAAGCATTGTTTTCTTCCCTCTGCCTACAAGGATTTGACAAGGAAAGCAGCTGAGCTTGAAAGTCAGCCCACAGAAGAGCAAAGCTCCATGGATTATGCTGAGGCAGCACAGGGACTTTACAGTGATCCCAAGTGAAAACCTTGTGGACTGCAGAGAAAGGAGGGAAAACATTTGAGTGGAGGGAGTCACTCTGGTTACTCTAAATATCTTTTAAGAGTCACTTTTACTTTCTCATGGTAGTTGAAATAAAGATAAATCGCAAAAAAAGAAATCTAGAGGAAGTGAAATGAGAGAAAGGAGAGGAAGGTCAGGAGCGAGGTCACCTTGGGATTAATTACTGCAACACACTGAACATGGGCACACATCTCATGTATGTAGCAACTGAAATTACTTACGATTTAACTCTGTATTAGCAGTGCACTGCTAATTTCTGACCATTTTGACCTATTGACAGTATCCCTTAAATTTAGCACCTACTCCCTTAAGGTTGACTATTCTTCCTTATATTTGAAGAGGGCAGAACTGAGGCTGCAGACTGAAACAAATCTATCTGGTTCCTGCTGTCACAGGTCCCACCGTATTAAAAGTCGTGGATACCTGAGACTTTCAAAATATATTTCATCTTAAATCAAAGCTTTTCATTAAGTTAAAACATAAGTCTAGTGCAACTTTTATAGACTTTCATACAATATACTAAAGTTGGTTTGGGGCTTCTGGGTGCTATAGTCACATATGTCCCAATTAAAAAAAAAGCTGAAAAGATCTGTAAATGTAAATTTAAAGCCACTTACCGCTCTTATCCTTCATAGGCAGCAGGAACCACTAACCCCAAGGAATTCAGGGCATGCAAGTACATCTCATAGCGTTTGGAGCTGACTGGCTTGTAAAAAGTTTGGTGCAGAAAACTTTAACATTGGTATTTAGTATGTGGCATTTTTCCCGTTCTATTTAAATATTTTCACTGGTATACTGAGACTGTCAATATATAAAATTAGTCTTTATTTCCTTTAGCAAATGTTTTTTTCATTTTAATTGCTTGAGGATTTCTTTCTTACCATCATTAATTGCAAAGACTGAAAAAACAATTTAAAATCAATTTTAAGAGACCAAGCTAACACACACACACAAATAGTAACAATGGGAAACTCAAATCATAATGTCAGTGTTGGCTCACTCAGGAAATGAAGAGACATTTCTGCCATGAGGATGCCAGAAGCCAAATAACGTTAATTTTAAACCTGCATCCAGCTTTCCAAGAAATTTATCCCCTTACATAAGGAAAATTTAGCAGGAAGCTACATACATAGGCCCACATTTTAGATTCAGCTGAACAAAATTCCCTTAAAATGTGACTGTTAAATAGAATACTGGTTTGTGGATGATAGGTTTTAGTCTGAAGAAGAGAAATCTAAGTAGATCACTCCTCTCCACTGTAACAGAAAACTGTTAACTGACTGCATCACTGACCAAGTTTAGTGTTTATTTGAAGCTAGTCTTAAATTATTTACTTATTTAAATAAGGAAGTAAATAAAAACTGCAGTTTTTAATTAAACTAGTTTAATTAAATTAAACGAGTATATAAAGTGCTGGATGATTAAGAGTTTGTCTTTTAACTCCTTTTCTGGAAAGTAAGTTAGAAAATAAGAACACTAAAGGCAACTTTCAGAAGTCAATTATTTGCTTACCAAAGTTGAAGATGACATGAAACTTGTGGTTTTGTCCCAAAATGAGCAATAATGTCTGAAGAACAGAGCATAGAAATGACGCATCAAATGGAAAGAAAATTCCACTTTAAAGAGCTGATATAATTTAAAATAAATAAATACCATAATCCATAAAGTAAAATGACCATTTTATAATTTTTTTAAACTTCTTGTATGGGATTCACAGACCTGAGAATACACCCAAAATAACTCGTCCAAAGTATTCCTTTAAAAAATTATAAATTATTGGTAACAGTTTCTTTAATGGAGATTGCAGGAGTAGGTCCCACGTGAGTCCATATATAGCCCTTCTCTGGTCTTGTAGGAACAGTGGGGAAGGGAGATGATCGAGATTTGAAATATTCTGAAGGTGCATGACAAACAAATTCTAAATATTCCATTTTCCTTGGAAGATCTTCTTCTGGTCCTAGAAAAAAAATAAATAATCTTCAAAGACAAAATTTAAAGGTATAAAATTGGAATATGCAGGACTTAAAAATATGCAACAACAGCCAACATCCCTTAGAGAATGTGCCTTTTCAATCAATGACTTTCCTGGCAAAGTAGCCTCAAATGCTAGGCAAGAAAGCTCTACCTTTATTTTTGCTGGGCTGATTTTTTTTCCCCCTCCATGTGAAACATTCAGTTATTTGAGTGAAGTACTTTAGTTAATATATTTTAAATAGATACTATTTGTGGCCTACCTATCAAAAGGACTTTTCTGAATTATTAATAATTTTATAATCAGTAGCAGAACACTCTCTATGCCAGTGCTTGCATGATATGTATTTTAAGCACCCAAGATGAAGATCAGCTAAGTCAGGTCATTTTAAAAGAAACAGCTTGGACTGGTATATTAGGTTTATACTGTAATAACTTTGATTCTATCTAAGGAGAAATAATTTGATCTTTAAAGTTGTAAGACTATAATTGTGGCCCCTGAGCACAAATACTCAGATAATCACACTCATTGCAGTAGTGCTAATCATATTATATACATAGGATAAATAAAAAAGGTTATTGAAGTAAACGAGATGCTTACAGGATTAGGGTCTAAAATGTGGAAATTGCATAAATGATTGTGACAAGCTCAAAAGTTCATTTAAAAAAACACAACTCTGCATTAGTCTAGGCACATATAAGTAGTTGTATAAAACGAAGGCTTAGAAATTACCTATGATATAGGATGCTGGGTCAAAACAGTCTTTGGGGCTGGCTTGCGTAGGAATGAGCCAGGTTAGTGCAGCACTCTTTTCACAGTATTGGTCCTGAATAAATCCGCGGATCTGAGCGTAGTATGTTTTTCCATCCTGCTCATCCACCACTGAAACAACATCTCCAATTTGATAGTATACACCCTAGAAGACATACAAACGATAATTAAACAATCTGATTTTAGAAGCTTCACTCTGCGATTCTGATTCATATCTTAAGTATCAGTATCTTAAATTATCTCAAATTACCCCAATCTTGAAAGACAGCCTTAATTCAGCCACATGCAAAAGAACGGTGGCGTAAGATAGAGTGCTGTCTCACCTAAGCAGTCATCAGCGCTGCTTGTGCAGTCAACCAATGTCTAGGAGCCTGAGGCTACACCTCCTGTCTGCAAGAGTGGAGATGGTCTCATTCTGTCAGAAGTAGGAGAGTGCAACACCACCTTCTAGAAAAAGTAACTGTAGTAATTTCCCTGTGTGTGCAGGGAAAGCAGCTTTCTGTGTACGAAGAAGTTCACTCATCTGAATGCAAAGGAGTCCCAAAACACAGATCCACCTCCTTCCATGGTGCTCTGTAACGTGTGAGGCTGTGCAGCAAAGGCAACTCACTTCACGTTATAACAGCGCCGCACAGCTCAACGCAGTGCCTGCACCATCAATATCAGAGTTTGCTAAGCATCATCCCGGAGGATTTTGTTTTTAAAACAGATTTAAAAGACCTCAAAAATCCCAAACAATCCCCTTCTCAACAACACAGCGAAGTATTAAAGTTTTGTTTTTAAAACAGATCTAAAAGACCTCAAAAATCCCAAACAATTCCCTTCTCAACAACACAGCGAAGTATTAAAATAGAAACATTTGGCATAAAGAGATCAGGTTAAGTAAAACTTTTGACATAGATCTTAGGAATTTCTGAAAAAAACAAAAAACAAAACACACAAGAAAAGACATTAATTCTCTTCCAAACTAGTCAACAGCAAACAGAGATTCATCTGGGATGCAAGACATGAAGCATCAGGTCTCTAGAGAGCATATGGAAGCTCAGTCTACCACTTCTCCTCTGGCTATGCAGTCTCCCAGTGGCTATTTTGACCTTTTCTTTGGGGGAAAAGACATTTCAAACAGTTTGTTTGTACTTCCAGGAAACAAAAGCAGATTTCAGAACTTCAAACATTAACACCCTGGCGAGGTGGTAAAAATGCTCTCAAGCATTGCTTCCATTGCAATAGTCAACAACTTCCTTGTTCCCAGGGTGTTCAAGACTGTTTGCGCCCAGCTCTGAACCGGGAGCCAGTTCAGATGTTAAGGCAGGTGCAACCCATCCCCTCTGCAGGGCATATTCTCTGTGCCTTCTATCTTAGGGTAGAAAACATCACACAAATTTAAATAATCAGCTATAGTCACTTTTGCTTGAATTCTGTAGGGTGAAAGTTAAAAGTTTAAAAACCTCAATTGCAGTAATTACTAAGGAAACCAGATGCATCTTTTTCTTGGAAGAAAAAAATGGGACAATGACAAGTATGTAAACTACTGTGGTAAACTACCTTGCAAGACTTAACAGCAATGACATGAGGCAAATCTTACACAACTGCTAGGCAAGGAAGAACAGTTTCTGTGAATATATCCCTAGTGCTTTCACTGTCTGTGGTAATTTTTGAGATTGGAAACAGAATCAGCAAGATGTTTTTTGCAAACAAATTTGCATAAACCATACCTTATAAAAGATTGATTCTGCTGTAATTATAGTGGATACAGACTCAGGAGCCTTGATGGGCTAAGAAAAGAACACAGAAATGGAAAATCAAAAGCATTAAAACAAACCAACCACGTAATATAATTCCAGGCTGTTTTTTTTTCCTTTTAGACAACATACTGATACATTATCTTCTTAGAAAATTAGTGAACACAAGAAATTGGGTGCAAACTTTTCAAACATTTGTACTTTAAAATTGAAAACAATAAAGTTAACATTTTCATTCTCAGGATGTTAAGTGGAGAAGTGAGTACTAAATTCGCATGACTGGTTTCTATTTACACAAAACTCCTTCCCTCAAGAAACGAGCCTGAAGGACTGGATGCTGTGCGGACCGGCGAATCACGCAGGCAGGCGTGCCCGTGCTACTGAGGAACAAACCGGCTCTGACATTGATTACAACCACTTCCCATCCCGGTTTCAGTCTGATTTTGCGACAGAAGCTGCAAAACTCCACGCCGGGGTCCAGCCCACCGGCAAGACGAACCGGGCGGGGGCCGGGCCGGCG